ATTTTTCATTTTTTAATTCTCCGCTGTCGCCGTATTTTTGGGTGCACTAATTTATTTTCCCTGCTCAGAATCGACAAGTACTCCGACGACGAAACGTGAGCTGATTGTCGTTTATTTCCTCTGCTTGTGAGTTGTGGAAATTTGTTTAAGTTTCGCGGCATGATTAATTCTAATAAAGTTGGCATTGGCGTTGGTTGGCGGCTGTGACGGCAGCGCCTTTCAATTGCGGCCAAATTTGTGGTGTTGCGGCTGTCACTTTGTATGCACCAGTTCACTTATTTATGTTCTTATGTGCTATTTAAGCGCCGCGACTATCACCGCCACCGAGACACCAGTTGAATGCAAATGTGGCGTAATTTGACGGATTAATACCGATTTGCGCTTTAATTGCTTTTAAGTTTATTTTGACATATTTGGCGGCAGCACAACGGGCGGCTGCTTTTGTTGTTCTTTTTTTTTTTGTCGGTTTGTTTTTTATGGATATGATTTTTTCAATGTTATTTTAAGTTAAGTGCGCGTACAAAGATTAAGTGTTCGCGCCAAATAAATTGACTCTAATAGAGCGCGAAAGTAATTTAATACACATTTTTTCACTTACATACAGTACTTTCAACAAGAAGGCCTTAATGTCCAATAAAACAAACTATATTTCATTGCCTAGTGCGCAACATAGTTGTAAAAATAATCCGTTACTCGTTCTACGAAAAAAACTCATTTTAGAAATTTGTTCCGTATACATATGTATGCGAAACGTTGTACATGATCTCGGACTTGTCTTGAAACGGTCCCTAAATGGTCCCTTATCAGTCCCAAAATAATTTCGAACTAGTCCCAAATTGGTCACAAAATAGTCCTGAACTCGACAAAAAGTGATCCCGAAATGATCCTGAAGTAATCTCGAAATAGTCCGGAACTAATACCAAAATGGTCCTCAAATAGTCATGAACTTTTCCCGAAACGATTTCTGAACAGGTCTCTAACTAGTTCTTAACAGGTCGCGAAATGATCCCGTACTAGTTCCGAAATGGTCCTTAAATGTTCATTTGTACACACTAGCAGCATTACAGATTTTGAAAACCGATTAAAAATAAATCTTTTTAAAACAACACAAACTTATAGATAAGAAGAAACACTTTGGACCTGCACTCCATCCCTCCCGACGCATAACTGGAGGGTTATCTGGCTAGAAAGGACCGATGAATCTTATTGATAAGCGCTGATACTGCTCAATGCAGAGTCCCTCGATGCGCCCAGCGATACCAAGGGAGGGTCATATTCTATGGATTCGAGAAGATGCTTCTAAGGATCTTCCCGACCGGAGCCAAAGCTGATGACCCTCAGCCTCCAGTAGCGCCGGAGGAAAGTAGCAAAGAGCTATTAGACTCAGGGAACCCGATTGGTGGACCGACTTAAGAATGAAATGGCTCCTAGGAGCTTCTTTTCTGACTACTCTCCCTCAAGGGAGGATTGGTTCGGGCGGAACTTTTGGGGAGGGAGAGCATAAGTTCAGGCTACCGGGCTTCCGCAGTGTATACCAGGCCAAAGTGGCTTTTAAGGAGGCTGTGGATTCATTGCCGCGGAGTGCTATAACAGTCAGGGAGGTGAGCATTAATTATGATAGCCAAGCGGCTCTCTCTTTAGGTCGCGTCGGAATACTTCTATATTAGGCTTATTTGGGTTCCGGGTTACAGCGACATTGTTTTAAATTGTGTGACTGACGACTTGGCCAAGAAAGGCACTCATGAAATATTACCGCCGAATAAACAGCGGCTGGGGTGCCATTGATCACATGTGGTATACTCTTGGACAGATGGGCCTCATGTCAGCTCAGCGGGTGCTGGGCGAAAACCTGGCCGAGGACCGACAGGGGGCGAGGGCATTCCTCACACTCACAAAGCCGGAGCTCTCACTTTTGGTAGGGGTTCTAACGGGTCACTATCCAATCGGTATTCACGCAGTAAGGCTGAGAACACTACCGTACCCCGCTTTTCGCAGTTTCCTGGAAGATGATGACGTGGAATCACCTTAGCGTAGCGTTTGCGAAGCTACGGTTAGAGTACTTTGGCTCTCACATCCTTAATAGCCCCGAACGGCAATCTTATAATGTCTAAGTGAGCCCCGAATGCACGGGGCTGCCACCTAACCTACCCTATCCTATAGATAATATAAGCCAAATGATAATAAAGCCCAAAATAAATAAAACTATTTGTAAAAATTAAATTAAATTTGAAACAAAACTAATTTTTAAAGAATTAAATGCACTAATTGAAACAAAATTAAATTAGAAAAAGGAAAAAATTAAGTAAATAAAAAAAGAGAAATAGTACTTAAAAATTAAATTAAATTTACAAAAATGTATTTATTATTGTTAAAACAAAACATAAAAATTGAAAGTAAATTTAACTAAAAAAGACAAAAAAATAAAATCCTGAAAACTTAGTGAAATAAAAAATATATATTTTTCTCTTTAATGCAATAAACACTAAAACCAAAAAGAAAATTTAATTGAAACAATAAAAATAATTTACTTAAAAGGGAGAAAAAAATTAAATACGTTTCTTAAAATTTCATTTAATTAAAAAATATACTTTGTTGTTAAAAAATTTAAATCTAACAGAATATATAAAAAATTCATATAAAAGGGCTCTAAAAATTAAAAGCAAATTTAAAAATACAATTAATTTATTTGTCAATGTTATTGTGGCTTATTAACATTTTTATTTTTAATATTTTTATTGAGCTTTGTACCACGATTGTTTATTAGGAAAAATTGAAAAAGCAACAAAGTCTAAGCGGTAGAAGTTATAGCCGCTATTTCGGAGATCACCACATCTCTTCATCAGACTTCTTTTTTTCTAGGCTTCAGCAGGGATCGAAGCACATCCCGTACATCCCGTAAACTCTTGTTGCTCATAGCTCAGTGGTTAACGCTTCTGACTTTGAACATCGAATTCGCAGGTTCGATCCCTGCTGAAGTCTAGAAAAAAAGAAGTCTGATGAAAGATGTGGTGATCTCCGAAATAGCTGCTATAACTTCTACCGCTTAGACTTTGTTGCTTTTTCAATTTTTCCTAATAAACAATCGGGGTACAAAGCTCAATAAAAATATTTAAAAAAAACAATTTATTTATTTATTTAGTAAGTCTACAGAAAATTCGCACAGAAAGGAAGAAAAAGAAAAAAATATAGTAAACAAACAATTCGCTTCCCGAGGTTTCGAACCTGGCACACCGGTGCCTTGCTCACTCGGCCATTGCGACTGTTGGAGCGACGCGATCTAAATGATATACAAATGCTTTAAAAAAAAAA